TATATTACCCATTTTGTTCTAGTTGTCCTTAGTGGGAGGGTGAGTCTGAGTCATCTGGTCCACCATCACTTCCTTTCTATATGTCAAGAAGAAATGGAAGTGGGCCTTAAAAGTAGAAGGGGAATATAGGATTCCAAGGATTTAATATTTCTTTATTTTTTAACCTGTGTTATTTCCCATGTCTATATTTTAAGTGACTTAGAATAGATATCCTGGTTGAGTACTCACAGTAGCTCAAATGAATAGGCAGTGAATTTTTATTTTTTTAGATTAAGTGGGAATAAAAAGAGAAGAAAATCCATGGAAGAGAAAAGAGAGCGAAAAGGAGAAGGGGAGAGTGAAGGAGGACTTGGGGGAAATAGAGAGGAAGGAGGTAGAAAAGTGGGAAGAAGAAAAGAGGAGAGAAGGTGAAGCAGGGAAGAACAAAATTAGAGGGAACTCTATTCAGTTTTAACAAAGCCTTGTAGTCAATCATTCTTTAGAAATTCAGTTACTACTTCTTTAAACAAACAAACAAAATTCCTTTCCCATTGTCCTTTCCTTGCCAATCGTTCACTTATTTTCATGACTGGTCATGGAAAAGGGAATTAATTCATTCACTCAACAAATATTTATTAGGGTCCCACTATCTGCCAAGCTCTGTTCTGGCCACTGAGGATAAACACATGAGTGAACAAAACATACACAAGTCCTTGCCTTCATTGAGCTTCCATTCTGGTGGGTATAGTAATTAAGGTGCTAAGTGCTGTAACAAATAGATCACAAGTTCCCAGTAGATGAACATAATAAAGGTCTATTGTCTGCTGAGCTTTGAGTCCTTGCATGTATTTTTGGTCAGGCAGATTTGCAGGAGCTCATTCAGAGTCACACTTCTGCTCCAAGTCTATTGGCAAGAACTGGTCACATGGCCCCAGCTGGAAGCAAGGGCATAGCTGGGAAATGTAGTTCCCAGAAACAAATACAAGTCTTTGATGATCAGCAGGCTGACTCTTCACATGGAGACAGACAAGAAACTGAGTAACAAATTATTTGTTATATTAGGAGGTGATAAATGCTATTGGAAAAAGGCAGGAAGGAAATTGTGTATACCTGTGTGTGTGTGTTTGTGTGTGTGTGTGTGTAGGAATATTGGAATTTTAAATAGAATAGTAAGAGAGGGACTCATTGGGATGAGCAAAGCTTGAAGGAGGCGGAGGAGTGAGCCATGTGGATATTGGGAGAGACAGTGTTACTGGAAGAGGAAATACTCAAAAAGGAGACTGTACAGCTGAAACAGAGCCAGAGGGAGAGAGGTGGGGGATGAGATCAAACACATCAGAGGCAGATTGTGTGGGACTCTAATTTCTCCTCTGAATGAGACGAGTAGAAACTAGAGGGTTGTGAGCAGAGGAGTGATAAGGTCTGATCTGCACTTTATCAGGATTGGTGTGATGGCCCTGGGGGGAATACACTGGACGGGGGAGGAGATTAAAGTGCATTGGATCAGAATGGCCACAGTGCAGGTGATGAGAAACAGTCAATGCTGACACATTTTGAAGGTAAAGCAGGGTTTGCAGATGGATTAAAGGTGAGGTTTGAGAGAAAGACAGGCGTCACTGTGGCCTGGGCCATGTGAAGGATGGAGTTACCAATGATGGAGCCAGGGAAGACAGTGGTGGAGCATGTCTGTGGGAGGAAGTCAATTCAGTTCTGGATGTGTTGAATTTACGATGTCTGTGAAAGTTTCAAGTTGTTGGGTCAGGAGAAAGCTCTGGGCTTCAGCTATGGGTTTGGAGCCCTTCCTCAGGATAAAGATGGTATTTTATTAAAGCCTTAAGACTGAAGGAGAAGGGAGGGGGTGTAGTGGAGTAAGAGAGACCCAAGGACTGAGACTTAGGGCTGAAAAGAATAAGGTGTGGCCAGTGAGGGGAAGACAAAAAGAGGGAAGGAAGAGGAGTGTGACTGGGGAATTATTTGAGGCTGTGGTTCAGGAGGTCAGAATCAGAATGGAGTACCATCAATGGTGGCCAAGAGGCCTGTTTTTCCCAAGTCCATTCCTACCTGCCTGCCTCCAGCTGTGTGCAATCCGAGTGGTCAGACGCAAGGGCAGGGCCCTCAGCTGCTCATTCTAGGCTTCTGCACTCTTTCACCACCACTCCTTGCTCTCATAAAAGTTTGGTCATTCATTCAGTGAGTATTTGCTGAACATCTCTATACGTGCCAGGCCCGGGTCTAGACACTGGGTGGACAAGCTCGCTGAGACCTCTGCCCTGATGGAGCTTATACTCCAACGGGGGTGGGGCAGATAATAAATAATCAACAAGAGACAAACAAGAACATTTCTAATCCAGGGTCAAAGAAGACAGAATGACCTGCTTTGGTTCAGGGGATCAGGAAAATCCTCTTCCAGGAGGTGACATTTGAGCTGAGACCTGAGTGCTAAACAGATGAGGATCATCAGATCTGTGGGATCTGAGCGAAGCTTGCTGACGGGAAGGCAGGAGGCCAGTGCGCTGATCACAATGAGGGTGAGGACGCAGAAGCCACCTCGCACAGGACCTTGTAGGCAATGGTTAGGAATTTGGTTTTTTTCTAAGTGTGATCCTGTGGCCTTTGTTGGAGTTAAGCAGAGGAGTCACGTGATACTATTAACATTTCGCTAACCTCACTGGGTTGGTCAGATGGGGAATAGACTGTAGGGGGCAGAGTAGAGGCAGGGAGAAGAGTTAAGGGGGGGGGTTTCTAGCTCAGGCTTCAGGAGGTGTCTTGGACAAGTATGGACCAGGAAGCACCCTGGACTGGATGAACGGGTGGGTCTGGCAGGCACATATATCCAGCTCTTCTCTGGGTCCAGGCCAATTCAAGGCCAAGAAAGGTACCTACTGAAGAAATGTCAGGGAGGTACAGTCCTCACCCTCGGCTTACGCTCTCGTTGAATTATAGGAAACTCAGACCACACGCATAAAGATTGCCGAGTAAACACAAAGCAACCATTCAGTAAGTGCACAGGAGTGGCTAGGTGCATAAGGGGGCCTGGAAACGCAGCTACTGGCTGCCCTGCAAAGAGGAGACTTTGGAATCTCCTCTAGACGGGAGGGCCAGCCCATTTTCCAGCAGGCTGAAGGTCGCGAGGGGCTCTGCCTCCCCGCCCCCAGCCCACGGCCCCGCGTGGCGGCGGGCGCTGGATTGTCTAAGAACCTGGCTCCAGGCTCCAGTTTCCCAACTCACTCGGCTCAGGGAAGCGGGTGACTCAGGGGAGGTCCCTCCCGGCACGCCGCGTTCTCGCCGGCCTGGAGTGACTCATTACCTCGCTCCCTCCCTCAGCGCTGACCCCGGGCCAATCCCGTAATGAGTCTACACCCCACTCTTCTCATTTGGCCGGGACAATTGCCCGGTGGAGTTTTTTAGCTCCCCGGGGGCAGGGCTTATGTATGTCAGCAACCGTCCAGGTTCCTCGAGAGAGGTTTCTCGTAGGGTCTGGAAGAGAGTGAAACTCTTGAGTCGACCCCAAGGCCCCAGGCTCTCCGCGAGAGCCGAAGGGGGCGTTTAATGCCCCCCGCGCATTCTTCTGATTTCAGAGCCACTCAATAGCATTTTATACCGAATACAGTTTCGCAAGTCTCCATGTCCTGGAGGATTTTTCCTTGGACACTTCTTTGTAAAAATTTGCTTGGGGAGGTGGTGGAAAGCAGCCAGAGTAGGCCCCCAAAGTCTGTAAATCAGAGACCAGAGGCAATGGGAAGTGAGAGCGCGGGGGACTAACCAACGGGCTTCGAGGGGCAAGGGGACCACTTTGCTCGCCCGCGCAACCGAAAGCGGGTGGCGAGTATCGGGGAGAGAGATCGGCTCTCCTGCAATCAGTCCTCCCGCTGGAGCAGAGGCCCAGGCAGCGGGCGTGGGCTGCGGGGTCGCCCGCCTGGGTCCCAGGCTTACGTCTCGGCGCCCCTTATTTCTAGCGCACCCGCCTCAGTCAGGCGACTCCGAGCATCCTCCAACGAGCCTTGGTTGGCAGTGGCGCCCGCAGTCCTCACTTCGCCCGGTCGCCTGCGCTCGCCGCCCTGCTGGGACCTGGCAGGTGGACTCGGGCCGGCCCACGCTCCTCTCGGCCCCGGACCCTCTCCGGGACCTCCCTCCGGACTCTGGCGCACCTCTGCGCTGGGGCAGGAGCCCGCAGTTTGCGCCCCCGAGTTACCTGTCCGGGGAAGTCCCCAGTCTGCAAGCAGCCCGGGCTGTAAAAGTGGATTTACAAAAGTGGCAGAGCCCACAGTCACATTCCTAGGGGAGGGGTCCCTACTCAGAGGGTCGCGGATCGCGTTACTGGCCGAGGGGAGGAGACAGCGGCAGGGAGAGTAAACAGGGGTAAAAGTTGCATTTAGCTTATTACTCCCCATCCCTCCCCCGCTAAACGCGCTGCGATGCCGGTAGAGTCCGGGACACAGTGTCCGCCCAGATCCCGGAGCCCGACGGCCCCGGAGCGGTCAGAGATACCTTTCCGTCCGCGGATGCGGCAGTCAGAGCGCCGGCCAGGCTGCAGGGCTGCCGGACTACCGGGCCCCGAAGGCGACCCCCGGCTGCTTGGGGGCGGGAAGCAGGAGCCCGCAGCCGTGCACCAAGGATCTAGAGCAATAACAGACGCATAAATGCGCATAAATAAATCAATGAGCAGCTCTTTGCTGCCAGCAGCAGGGAAACCTCGAGCTGATTAAATGCAGACGTGGGGTGTCTGCCAGGACCGGAGGGCGGCGGGGCAAAGGGAACAGGCTTGGAGGCGAGAGGTGGGGGGGAGGGAGGCCAGGGGCTGGAGCAATGGGAAAGATCCAAAGCCACGTTTAAAAAATGGGGGTGAATCTTAAAAGCAAACAGTGCAGAAGAGAGGAGGGGGCCGGGCTGCCGGCGCCGGGGCAGGCCCGCCACCCGGGGCAACTTTCCGCGCGGGAGGTGCGGCCGGAGGGGCGGCGCCGGCGGCGGGAGGCGGGAGTCGGGGGCCGAGGGGGGGAGTCACTTTAAAGGCTCTTTCTTACCCATAATGCTTTGTGGGGACGTTGACAAGTGGATCCAAGATGGCGTAGAAAGTAATGACAGGTAAGTCCTGACTTCCCCCTTCTCTGCTGCTGAGACCGCTCGGCGAGCTGCCAGAGCCCTCCGGGGAGGGGACTGGACTCCCCTCTGGCCCCCCAGGTCCCGGGAGGGGCGGCCCCGGGGCGGGCCGGGAGCCCAGGCGGCCCGCGGCGGGGCCTGGGAAGCGGGGCTCTTCGAGGCGAGGCCCGGACGCTGGAGCTGTTTACAGCTTCTTCCCCTCCTCGGTCCCCTTCCCCTCCGCTGGGGGCCGCGGCGCCCTCGGCCCAGGCCTTGGAGGGGGCCTTGCAGACCCGGGCCGCGAGCCTGCAGGAGGTTTGTCCAGCCCCGGGCACTCCGGGAGGGGGAGTCGAGCCTCCTTGCACGCTCCCCTCCTCCGGGTCGCGGCTGGGGGTGGGGAGCGTGCGGGCCTCCCACGCCCCGCTCGATTGCCCCCTCGGGGCTCGGACTTCCACCTAGGGTAGGGGCAGGCGCCGGAGGGTGGGATTCGGGAAAAGTGGGTCAGGGGTGCGCCCCCTCACCCCCCGCCGAGGGCTGTTGCCTGAGCTTCACTTTCTTCGCCCCTTTCTCCGCCCCCTCCTCGGAAATTCTCATTGGCCCACAAGTACATCAACAAAAATAAAAACAGACTATCCTTTCCTGGAGATTCCTTCAAGACTCCCCTATTCTAGAGCTAAGGGACTGCAGTTTTATTTAGGGGACTTTGATTCCTCTCCCCCTAGAATATTTGAGCCTCCTGCACCCTCCCCTTTGCTGAGGATCCTCCAGCCAGGGCTGGAAATCAGGGTCATAGGATTCTTCTTGGACTGGGATCCTCAGGTGTTGTTTGAAACTCAGAATTCCTTCTCTCTCCCAACTTACACTTTTCAGGCAAATCATTAATATAATATGTATAACTCCAGAGACAGTGGATTCCTAGAGTTGGGCGTGTGTAGGGGGAGGAGGGAGTTGGCCTGGCTAGTTTGTTCTTAATTTTGCCCTCTCTTCAGCTCATATTAATGAGATTTCTTTTCTTTAACTTCTCTTCTCCTTCTCCTTCTTCTTTTTTTAGAAAGTAAGGTCAGTGCTGTAAGAGATGACTTTTTTATGTTTTGGATTTTAAAAGCATTTTATAATCTTTTGTTACACAGAGAGAAAATTTTTTATTTTAAAGTAAAACAAACTCATTTACAAAGCTGCATAATGTACCATTGTGGTAACTTTTTCCATTTGAAATGTAGATGCCTTTTCACTTCAGGCTGATAAAATATTTGCTACTGATCATGTCTATTACTGGTGGTGTATAGACACATTTTACTTTTCTATTTGCCTCAGGAATTGGATGAAGTAATAATTGATCACTAAAGAACTACAGTGCTGGTGAGATGTGTAAGGTGAGACTGCAGTTAAAAATGATTTACCTTTTTTCTTTCTTTATTTTAATCAAGTCGTAAGGGTAAGGCTAAAACTAAGTAATTTGGGGCCATCTTTATTTCCATATCACTCACTAAGTCAAATGTATGTAGAGGCAGGGCTAGATTTAGAAAAGAAAACTGTCAAGTGTACCAAACTTTTCAGTGGCTCCAACATAGTGGAGTTTATCTGGAGCCAAGTGTTACTTGTAGCCATCCTTGATCAGTATCTTCATCAGGGGTAATTATAGTTTGTCTATTTAAATTTCCTTGAGTAATTAATTGAGTGTCTTAATTTTATCTGTGTTTTGGTGTCCATCACTTACTCTACATTGAGTGTTAGTGACTGTGTATGTGGATTTTGTGTGTCCAGTTTTGGAGACTCATATAAAGTACACCTTTTCCATTAGAAAGAATTATTTTAGGCAGATTCTGCCTTTGTTTTCTGAAAAATGGAATGAATAGTACTTGTCTCTCTCATAGTTATTTTGAAATAAAAATGATAATGTTGAATATTGTTTAGCTTATTAGGGATAAGGCTGGGTTGTCATTTTCTGGTCCCACATAGTGTGTGAATTCAAAGTGTTGTTTATTTAATCTAACCGATAAGGCTTTGGATTTATAGAACATTATTGATATAGAGTCAGTGAATAGATAGAATCTGTACTGGGGAGAAGGAGAGAGATTTGCTAATTTAAAATTTTTCACAAGCAATTTTCTCAACTTTAAAAATATTTTACTATGGTTTATTGAGACAATGTAAGTTGTTATGGTGGATTGGTTACTGCAGGTTTTTTTGTTTTTTCTTTAACACATATGGGTAGCCTTTGTATTTTGAAATCCACTCAAACTTTTCATCTCTATCACACATCTGTTTAAGAAGAATAAGCTGTGCTTTATTTTTTTCCAGATTAAGGCATACAATTGACATTTTTGCCTTTAAAAAAAAACTTGGGAAAGGAAGGTGGACATAAACCAAGATCCTTTTGTAAGTGCATACACCACATTTGCTTGTGTTTGAAACTCAGCAGTGCTTGTGTGTATCACGTATATTTTTATTTTTATTCTTGGCAAAGCAAATGGATTTTAAAATTTATTTATTTTCAGTTTACAGATGGAGGCATATTCATGCCTTAGACCTCCCAATCTGTACCTTTTGTCTTTTTTTCTTTCTTTCTTTTTTTTTTTTTTTTTTTTTACAGATTTCTTTGTGGAAGGAACCAGTAATCTACTTTTTGCCTTATGGAGATGTTTGTTTGTAGTCTATAATAGAATATTTAGAAATAGGTAGTCTTGTGTGGCTAGTGTTGTTTGGCCTGAATTGTGTGAAGACATTTTCCACAATTCCCACACATGCAAACCACGTGAAGTGTTAGTATTCACTTCAAAGTGAAGTTGGTGGTTGGCCACCAAACAGGTTGTTACACAAAGCATTCTAAAATGGGAAATACCATAGTATTGAAGGTTGTGGTGAAGTAGGAGTCTGTGTCTTTGAGCTGAATAAAGACATAGCTTTTTTAGTCTGTCCTTTTGGCTGGGAAGCTAGGACACTATTTTTAGGTAAGGCTGTAGTTTTGGGGAATCAGTAAGTACCTTTCTGTAGTTGGTAAACTTGATTTTTTGCACTTGTTAGCAAGAACTTTCATTTCTAATACCATAAATATTCAATCTACATTGTTTTAAAGTCTGTAAACATTTATGGATCGTCCATTGTTTTACTGGAGAGGGGAACGATGCTTGCATAGGGCCTTGTGTAGTTTAAAAATATACAGCATGTCCATGAAAGGCTAAGAATATTGCAGAAGGACCTACAAATAAGTAGACCAGATCTTACACATGCATTTTTGTTCTCTGTTTAAGAGCAGGCTTGGTATTAATATTAAATGCAAATTAGTGTGTAATTGTCTGTCAGCCTATATATAAGACTCCAAATTCAGGCCTAGCACAAGAAATAAGGACCTTTGCCTGTTGTTTTAAATGCATAGGATATTTAGGCCAAGTTTATCAACTTGTTGATTGAATAGGAGAGGGGGAGGAGCTACTTAAAAGTTATAAACAAATTGTTATGGTTGTTTATTTTAGTACACTTAGATAAGTGTACATGCAAATATAATTTGATTTCTAAGTAGTATTTTGAAATGTTTTCTAGGTGAGAACTATGATACATGTGGAGAGTGAGACTACACCAGTTTATAGTTCATTTAAATTGATGGGTGTAGTCAGGATTATTTCTGTAGCATTGACTAGAAGCAACATAAAACTTAGTGAGCTATCACTTCAAGGGTGGGTGGGGTAATACTTTTGAATAATTCTTTTTTTTAATTGAAGTATAGTCAGTTTACAATGTTGTGTCAATTTCTGGTGTACAGCATAACAGTTCAGTCACATGTATACGTACATATATTCGTTGAATAATTCTGAATTTAATAGAGTTAATATTCTTTCAGAAAATATTGTAGATGTAACATGAAGACTTTTAACTTAGGTATATATTTATATATATGTGTGTATATATATTTTTAAGCTACCAATTTTCTAAAGCAAATTGAAAGTTTTCAACATACTACCAAACAGTCATACCAGCTTGTTTACTCATGTAAATTGTACTGGGTCATTTTCTCCAAGAGCAGGAAGTTGTCTGGTAAAACCAGAGTGTGTGTACTCAACTTGCTTTTGACCCCAAAAAGCCCTGATTCATCATTAGTTTCTTCAGAGGAATGCATGGCATATTTTTTGACTGAACCATTCTGAAGTGTGAATGTTTGTGATTTTTGTTATTTCTGCGCCATATTTTAGGTGTTCTCGGCACATCTCAATTTGCCTTTTTGCTTTCTTCTATGGATATTCTCCTTCCTTGTGTTGAAAATATTCCTGTGAGGCGAGCTTCCTTTCAGTAGGCAATATGTGTAACATAGCTTTAAAAAATCATTTATTTTTATGTAAAATTGATGCATGCTATGGTTAACAAACTGGAGTAGTACTTAAGTATATAAAGTAAAAAAGATTAAAAAAAAAAGCCTCTCTTCCCTTCTCCACAGTTAGTTGTACTCCCTTGATCTGACCATAGAAAACACTTGGTGTCGCTTGGCCTTTGAAGACCTCTCTAGCTGAGGTACCCTGGCAGTCATGAAAGCAGAGAGAGAAGTCAGGAAAGGCATGGCCACTGAACTAGCTTAGATGTTATGCAGGAACTATTCCACCCTTATTTCCTGTGATGATAAGTAATACTGATAATCTTAAGCGTCCATCAGTTTAAGATAACTGTAATTGAATTGTTACTGAAACACTCAAAGAGTTAATTACATTGTCAGGTTGGTAAAGTTTTGATTTGTTGATCTTTTAATAGGAATCTTTTAAAAGGAAATAAATATTTGGGAATTGAATTCATGTAACCTTAGGGCTGGGAGTAATGTTGGTAATTACCATCTGTGTAACTTTATGAATGAGCTTCACAGTTTATTTACTATAGGCTTTTTATAACTCATTCTCTCTCGTTTAGTTCTCAGAACAACTCCAAGATAGTTATTTCCACTTTGCAGAGGAAATTTAGGCTAAATGTGAATGAACTAACATAACGTCACAGGTCTAGTAAGTGGTGGTCTGGCGCTGTGCCTTGGAAAGGGCCTGCTCTTTCCATTGTGATTTGGTCTGCTGCTTCTGTCTAGTCTAACTGTCTTATTTTCCAGATGAGGAAATTGAGGCCTGGAGAAGTCAAGTGACTTGCCCAAGGTCACACACCCAAGTGGTAGCAACACTGAACCAAATTTTTATCTCTGGACCCTTATCTCGGGACTCTTGGTCCTGGCTGGTTATGCTACATTTTATTGAAATACTGTGGACCGAAAGACCATATGCTGTGAATACTGGACACATGCTTCAGAACTAATACACCAGCAATGGTGTTTTCTACTGTGTTTTAAAAAGTTCCTTCTCTCTCTTTCAGAAATTATAAAGAGCTCTGATGGGCTATTTGGGTGATACCCAGTGCAGTGAACTGCAGGTGAGTAAGGCTTGGCAGAGCCTTATTTAGAAAACAAGAACTTGGCAATGCCTGAGGAAGAGACAAAGGAGACACAATCTAGATGAAAGTGTCTGGCCAGAAAGGGTGAGGTGGGCCAAGGTGGAGGGATGTGGGGCACTAGTGAAACTGGTAACCTGGAGACGCCGGTCCTGACTGAATTGGCTACTTCTGGAACAGACTGGATGATGGTGGACATACTCTCAGGAGACTGCCTGGTACTTTGTCAGTTTGTTTGAAGAGAAGTGAGGGTAGGTTAATCTTCCACTTCTGTTTTGAATGAGTAACCGCACAGGGGTTCAACCTATCTGCATATTTTGGAACTTGAGAGGTCCTTCAGTTTTTGTGTCAACATTCTTGAGTGATGATCACCGGGACTCTGATGAACTTGGTTAAGTATTAAACTGTTTTTTCTGTTATCTGCTATGTGTGTATTGTCATGAATGACGATATATATCTGCATTTTTTTAGGATCTAGACACTAAGAGCACATCAGTGGAAACAAAAGGTTAAACTTTTTTCCTAAAGGTTGTGTTCCCTCCATACAATGGTTGTATTAGTCCTTCAGATTATTTATTTTTAGCTGAAATACCCTAAGAAAGACAATTTAGTCTTGAGTATTTATTACTTCACAGTAATTAGTCTTCTTGGTCCATTAGTAACTTGGTCATTCATTATTAAACTTAGAAAATGGAAATATTACAGGAAAACAATTGGAAGACTGTTTTAATATTGTCTTTGTGGGGCATCAGTGCTAAAATTAGTTTTTGATATATTTTCAATACTAGTCCCAGACACTTTAATGTGACAATACTGTGTACTTTGAGGGTTTATAATTGAACTTAGGCTTGGCTACTTGTTGATTACTAAAGTAAAACATGGTTGTAGGGGTTCTTTGATTCTTGAGGATATGCTAGTTTTGCACGCTTCATCCTCCACAGGTTCACTGGGATGATCAGAAAACCAGTTGAGCTAGTTTGTTGGTCCTTGGAAAGCTGAGGTCTGGGTTGTCATAGGTCATTGTGAAAAGGAGTGCATGAGTGAAGTGGCCTTCTCAGTTAGGGCCAAAATGAGCAGTAGAAGGGAGCAGTGGACCTTTTCCAAGCTTGTATGCCAGAACCCCTTGTTTCCTGGTGGAACTCTCTCTCTTAAATAATTTAAAAATTGATATTAAGTAAATTGTTAAAGGTTTGGGTTACTGCCCTAAAACAATTGATTTTCTTTTTGGCATTCCATTAAAAAATTGTGTATTCATTTTTAATTTTGATGCATATAATTTGGATTTTTTCCTGTTTATTAGATTATGAAACATTTCCATGTTATAGTTGTCACAATTTTAATTTTATAAGTTTACACTTTGAAAGGCTGCAAAGTATTTCATCAAGTCATGCTCTCATAATTTACTTAAATCTTTTTATGTTAGATATTTACGTTGCTGGCTGGTTTTCAGTTAATGGTTTAATCTGCATTCTTGTAGATATTATTGTTTTTTTTTCTGGCTAATTATATCACTAGGATAAATTTCTGAGTGCATTATGTGTTAAATGGTATGAATGTTTTTATGGCTTTTGATATATATTGGCATACTGTGTTTCAAAAATGTTATACTAGTTTGTACTAACAGATACACAGATATACCTGTTTCACCATAACTGGATAGAAATACATTTTTTTTTCCTTAAAAGTTTTTGCTAATTTTATAGTATAAAGTGACACTTGAATTTCTTCTGTAATGTTGAATTTTTCTCTTTGAGTCTTTTCATGGTGAATTGTTTGTTCATATCCTTTGCTATTTTATGCAATAAACTGTAGATGTGGGCTTTGGGTGGTAAGACAAGTATAACCAGCTAGTAAACAGGTGATTATTAAAAAGGTGACGAGAACACGTTCAGTGAAAATGTTCAGAGAGAGTCTAGTCTAGATGGTCAGTTTTCTTGGAAATTGTGGTTGAAGGGTAGTAAATGGATTATTCCAAGAGTCAATTCAGCAAATATTTATTCAGTATCCACTGTGTACCATGTGCTGTGTTGCGTCCTCTGAGTGCTTCTCAAGTTATCATGGCATCTACCTGGTTGAAGGAGGAGACTGTTTGAGGCTTGACCAGTTGGGGACCCTGGCTGCTGAAGTCCCTTTGTGGCTGCCTAGAGGACTGAGGGGGTCACTGTCTAGAACAATTAATAGCACACCACTGTGCCATGGCACACACTCTTTGAGAAGCTCTAAAGGATACAAAGATAAATAAAAGATCATTTCCTCTGATAGGGAGTGAATCATTTAGTAGAGAGGATGGGGCACCAAAGAAAGAAAGGACTAATAGGAATTTAAAGGGTGCTGTAAAAGGGGCTCAGACAGGGTGCTTAGGGGTTCAGTGGAGGGAGTAATACTGCCCCCTTGGGGATATAAGGGAACACTTCAACTGAAGAGGTGGCATTTAAATTGCACCACTGTGAAAATGAGGACCAGTGGAAAGAAGAGGACATTCTGGAGGGAAGGATAGCTTGATCAAAGTCTGGGGGTGCTTTCATAAATGAGGCGGATGTCAAGAATCTGCGTATCCAAATTGCCTGGACCCTGGGTTACATAAAGGGATGCAGTGGAAGATGCAACTGTTGAGAGGTCCAGACTGGGTTTTGGAGGGTCTAAGATGTCAGACTAAGGATGAATATAATGGATTGCCAGTGAGGAGAAACTAGAGACAGGGGCTTTAGTTGGGTTCATGGTAGTAGTCCAAGTGAGGGATGATAAGGGCCTGAATTGAATCGGTGGCCTTGGAAATGGAGAGGAGGTGATGGATTCAAGATATTTTGAACAGAGAGATGTGGTGACTGTTTAGGTAGGAGGGGAAGGGAACAGTCGGTTCTATGTCTTAAGTCAGAAATGATGCTGAAATTTTTATGGTTAGATGGCTGGCAGAATGGGACATTAGGAATATGTAAGTCAGGAGGAAGAACAGGTCACAGGAGTTTAGAATAAGGAAGTGTTTGGTTTTGGATGCTGAGTTTAAGGAACTAGTAGAAAGCTGAAATCCGAATTTTATCCTAGAAGGAACAGACGAGGAAGTTCAGGGCCCAGAGGAGTGAGGAATCAGCGAAGACTGAAGCTTCCTGATTCCCAGTCCAGCACCCTCTTCTCTGCCTCAGACTGGTTTTCAGCTGTGGGGTTCTCCTCACACCCAGGTGTGTTCAACAGACAGTTGGAAGTGGCAGAATTTATGTTGGGGAGTGAAGAGTTTATTTTTTAATTATATTTTTTTGTTACGGAAAGTTTCGGACGTACAGAAGTAGAAAGAGTATAACCAGTCCCCCATGCTGGTCGTTCAGCTTCAGCAGCTACTAACGTTGTTTCCTCTGTCTCCTCCCTCTCTGTCCATTCTGTTGAAGCAAATGGGATAAAGTGTTTTGGTGACCTTAAGCTTTGTGTATTTGCACGTAAGGATGGTTGAACAGTTTGGTAGGGTATATTCTGAGCTTTCCGGGTGGGGTCTAGATTGAACAGAAGTAGGATTAATTTCCAGAATTCCTTGGGCAGATCACTGAAGTCTTCTGGGTCGTAGTTTGTCTGTAAGATGGAGATGCTATCCGCTTCACAGACTCACTTGAGAGAAGGGATGTGAAAACCCTCTATGAACTTTGAGGCTGAAGTATTACGCAGGTTTTAGTTGTCGGTAATAACAAAAAGGCAGTGCGATTCCTTTGGGCTTCTGTGTTGCTGACATGAAGTTTATATTATTCAATCCATTTTTGTTATTCAACAAATGCTTGCTATGTCAGGTGCCTGGTGCTTCAGGAGTTAACAATCAGGCAAGATCCCAGTTCTCCTGGAGCTCACGTTCCAGATCGGGAGGAAAATGGGAAGCTAGTACTTTAATAGTGGTCAGTGTGGACCAGACACTGTTCTAAGCGCTCTCATATTTTACCCCATTTAATTCTTGCAGCAGTCCTGTGAGGTGTAGGTACTGTTATTACTCCCATTTTGCAGATCTGGAGATCGAAGCAAGTTTTTAGGCAGATTGCTTCAGGTGACAATGCCAGGATTCAAATTCAGGCAGATCTGGCTTCAAGCCTGTATTCTTAACTGCTGTGCCTTGGAACTCTTCAGCTCATTTGTGGCATCCTAGAGTTTGACACAAATAAGAAAGTCTGAAATTATTCCTAAACAAATAAGTGTTCTCTTCTTGTGAAAAAAAAAAAAGACAAAAACAAATGAAAAAAATAGCAGTACATAGTTCTCTGTGGATGGAATATGTTAGTATTCTCTCATGGAAAATTTTTTTCTTCCTAATTTTATAGACTTCACCAACTTTCTTGGTTTCTTTAGATACAAATGGTCACCTCAGTGGAAGGAAGTCATTTTTCTGCTGGTACTTGGGAAGGATCTCTTCTTAAATGAATCTCCTTATTTATATTTCTCTTTTTCCTTTTCCCTCCACTCACTCCTCTCTCTTACCTTGGGGAGATTCCCATCTCTGATCTCTGCTGTTCTCTGTTCCTCCTTTTCCTCACAGCTATGGTGGCCCTTTCTGTCCCCAGTCTGATCCGCTGCCCGTGTTCTGAGGAATTCCTTTCCTTCCACCTTTGCCTTCCCTTCCCCCGCCTGCCTCAGCCACCTTTAACCTCACCCTGTGTTTCGGCTTTTCTAAGTTTATTTAGCGGGGCTGATATCAGGACCAATTTCCCTCCTCTGGCTCTGGCTCTGCTAGCTCTCTGTTCTCCTTCATGGGCAGAGAAGATTGGGAAGTAGGCAGTGAGCATTCCTTAGGTTTGCATCAAGAGTAGGACATGGACCTTAATGCTTTTAAGGAGGGTAGGAGGGTATTATGGCTTGTATACTTAAAAAAAAATTTTTGGTAAAATATATATATAACAAAATTTACCATTTTAATCATTTTAGGATATAATTTAGCATACAAGTGGCATTAAGTACATTCACATTGTTATATAACCATCACCACCATTGATCTCCAGAACTTTGTCATCTTCCCA